ATAGATGGCTACACTTGTACTAAATCACCAATGAGCCAGTTACGAGTACCGCCTGTCTTGCCCGTTCACCCTTTTCTTTGATTTACAAAATATTTTACGTTATCTTATTTTGCTGTTACAAATGTTTAAAAACATTATAAAAATTATAATGTTTATAATAAAAATAACACCAACGATATTCATGGCACTAGTGAAAAATACGTTTTTCCCACCATTTCAAATCAGGCACTAACAGAGCCATCTATGGGCAGACATTTCACAAAAAAATATAGAAAATAGGCACAGCATTTCCCCCATTTTTTGTTCAATTTCCCCGGTGGCAATGGGTTAAGAAATAAGATCACTAAGTTTTTCTATCTGGCCTTTCAGGAATGACTGTATACAATACAGTAATGGAGGTCTTTGGAAAGCCTTTCAGCACTTAAAATTTTTTGGGTGTCAAACGAATGTTTACTTTCAAAAACATCAACTTGTACACACTTTAACTGTGGTTGACAGTTACTTAACAAACTATATCATTTTTATAAATAGGATATGTTTAGCATTCCTAATCAAAAATATTGTGTTGACAATATAGATTTAACCCCTTGGTGCCGGGTGACGCCGATTGGCGTGTAAACAAAGAGCTTGAAAGCTGGCGTGCAGCCGAACGAGCCGGCGGCGAGCCAGTGATTCGGGCTGATGTCCCCTACTCACGCGCTCAAAGTCGGCGCGCCACCTTTGTTTGTTTAAGCGTAGAGTTTTTTTTTTCTTTTGTACACCCGGCGCCATTGGGTTAATAATAAATTAGAAAAAAAAAAAAAAACTTTGCTCTTGATATAATAGATTATAAACTTGTTATACAGGGTGATAAAAGGTGTTACTAATTTGAGTATTTCTAATAATAGAAATGTTATTGAACATTTTCATGTAGAGGACTTTCCGGCCTGATGCGCTGTAGCACATCGCCATGTGTAGAACCATATCTGGCAGATCAAGTGGTTTGTTATGCTGGCTATACGCATGACCTGGCTGTAACAGGTTCAGAAACATTAACCCAATGGGGCTGGCTGTCAGAAATCTATGAGTGCCATAAACTCTGGTGACTTCTGGCAGTGTCCAAACGCTGGGCGCAGGATTCCACTAGAGGAACTTCTCACTCCACGTGCATACAGCCGTACCCCGGAGATCAAGTGGTTTCTTATGACACATGTATATGTGACCCATCAGGATAGTGTTAAAACAACAAGAATAACAAAGTTTCCTTTATTAACATGAGCAATGATACTTCATGAAAATAAAACCACATTTTCCAGAAATTATAAACTATAAGTTATTATCCCTACAACATGGAAAGGAAAAAGGGAGACAAACTAATATGGATATGGATTTTGAAAGCCTAATTTATATTCCTGATAGAGCATTTAGCCTTGACAAATTACATTTCTTTCTGTCTACGTTATACCAGTACTCTCTCATTCAAGCACACTCTATCTTCCGGAGGTAAAAAGGAGGGAAACTCGCAGTCTACGTGAAACTGTCATCATCTTCCTCTGCCATCTCCTTTGCCAATTCCAGATCCTGCTGCTCCCGTTCTCGTCGTTCCTGTCATCAATAGGTAGTCAGTTATGTGCAATCAAGTTAAAAAGAAATTCTTATGAACATAATGAGCTATTAACAACACTTGACAGTTAATAGTCCAAGAGGTATTTATCCCAATAACTGAGACTCATGATTAAAAATCTTTCTTGAATCATATGCACTACACATTGTAGGAAAGAACTCCCAATGAAATGGTAGCAAACATGGAATGATTCAAATAATAGGTGTGATGAAAAAAAAAGTCTTCAGAATTTTTAAAAAGAAGGGTCATCGGAGGAGAGTTACTTGCACACTCCTCCCCCTTTTAATTGCAGTTATTGGGTTAAGGAAATCTATATATAAATAAGAATTCTATAGAATCATAAAACAATGAAATTTTCCTATGAAGCATGAAAAAATAAATCAATCCAGGAAAATATATATAATTTCCTCCTACTGGGGTAATCATCTACTCTTTTTTTTGTACACTAGTAAGATTTTGCCTTCATAATTCAAGGACCTACAAAATCCAAGATAGTCATCCTAATTTTAGTTGCAACTATAAGTCCACTATTACAATTATCATCATTAAAATTAAAGAAATAAAAATCTTCACTAGCAAAATCATCAACAATATTATCATTTTTACATACAATATTTTTTTACATTTTGAAAATTTTATCAAATCACTGTCATTCTTGCCGAGATTCTTCAAAAAAACAGTACTGACTGCCACTAGAATGACTTATTTTGCTCATCAATCTTCCTGACTGGAACCTAAGAACCCCCATTTCCAGATGGAGTCCCTCTGTCTGACCCTGTATTTCTTCACCAATCATGTTAAACCTATCTGTAAATTCCTACATTACTGCTTCCCCTTTCCTCACACCCAACAAAAATCCTGACCAAAAATCCCCTGACAGACAAGATGGTTATGAAGGTAATATTCTAACAAGATACATTATAATGCTGATGCCCTGTCTACCTTTGACAGCAAGAAAGAGGAGTTTATACATGAAGACATTTGAAGGGGGAAAAACCTGATCAATGGAACAAGGTCCAGGATAGCTGAGGTCAAGAGAGGTGTCCGGGGCAGAGTGGCGATGTTCGGGGTGTTGGACATCGGGGAGCTGATGGACGATGTTGCCCGTCCCGAGGCTTATCGCTATGAAAAAGACTAACCTCTACATGAGGTTTAACCATCCAATGCATCCTTCTTTTGCAGGTCTATTCCTACTGAGTACTCACTTATCCCCATTCAAAATAATTGTAGTGAGGTTCCCTACACTCAACAGGTGACAAAAATGTCTGTCTCATGTTTAGACTATATTTTCTTACATTTCTGGGGTAGTAACATTAAAAACAGTTCTATTTTTCAATTCTATAAAGCTCGTCTATCCTATTCCCCTCATTTGTATAGGTAAAATATGTTTGCAAATATGATATTCAATTTACCAATTTCCCTATTTCCAAAGCATTTGGAAACCAAACTATTTTTTTTTTTTTTTTTTATTACATTAACAATAAACTGTTGCTGAGTCCTATCAGTAACGTAACCACCTTAACCCCTACGATCCGGATGACTTGACCATCACATAATGAAAAATTTTGCCATAAGGGGCAGGTGATATGAACATGCCGCCATGGGAAAACTTGGCTGTGGGCCGGGGTGACGCAAACTTGCCATCATGAGCATTTTGGCTGAAGGCTGGGGTGACAGGAAAGACTCTCCATTAGTGCACAAACCTCTTGGAGGGTGATTACTCATTTGGTATTTAGAAAGGGTTTTTTGCATTATTTTCATCAAGTGTGGAATGTAGTGTCCGTGAGCCATGACGGGAAGAGCGCCAGCTCCAGGGAGGACATCATTTCCATGCTCAGCATCCTATTCCTACCTGCCATAACCAGCGGCAATGGTTATTTTACAGAAAGATAAATATAATTTTTTTTTTTAAATGACACAAATAACAAAATGTTACTTATTGTTATTCTTGCACTGACTTATGGACTACCTGGAGAGATGATATAAAGTCTGTGCAAGAAATACAATCTATTACCATCAGGATAATGCAAATAAAATGACACATATGGACATTAGAAAATGGCAAAAAACGTAAAAACACTTATAGAGAAAGAGGAAATAACACTGGGCCATAGAGTCTTGTCACCGCACTCGAATGTTTGTGTGCCCAGCCTACAAGCCATGCACTCATCAGAGCAGCCACTCATGTAAGCTTAATGCCCGTACTTTGGGCTATGTGATTGTCATGAAGCAACCGGATCCAATGGGTTAATAGTTTAAATTTCCACATCCTTTTTAACATCTTAAATCCCCATTACTCAGCCAAACATTGACAAATAATAAAAAAAATATATATATAATATAAAATAGGGACCTCAGGATTTTCTTTCTTTTGCTTTATGGGGCTCTATTCATCCTATCTAAAGACAATGCAATTTGACCTACAGGCATATTTTACAATTACCTTTAAGGGTAAATCAATATAGCTTTAATTCAAGTCCAAGGACTTACAGTATAATGGAATACATTTCCTATAAAACTCAGTTGTGATGCAACATAATTCAAACATCAAACCCATGTTTCACAATTTACTCTACTGGATGTAGCACAGCGGGTTTTCCATTAGACTATAACTGGGCTTTACTTATATGGATTGACAGTGTTTAGTTTTTAGTACTAACTCAAGCTTTATGTCAAAATCTCTTCTTCACTTTCCATTTCAGCTGCCTCACCTCAGCACTCTCAAGATCCTTGTTGTATGACTTGGGGGGGTAGCGCATGGCCTTGACCGACTGGTTGTGGATATCCAAGCAGAAGGAAATGCGCTGATGATACACTGACTGTGGTTCACGAGTGCAGTATACATCAACAGTCTCCTTGCTCTGCATATATCCATGCTCATGGTCAATCACAGCCTGTCGGGATCAAAACATGTTCAAGAATGGGCAGAAAAGACTTCCTCACTTAGGTTTGAGAAAATGAGAGAGACTCCAATGCATGTATTAAAAGTCAGTAGAACAAAACTTTGTATTCAAGTCAAATGCTAAAAAAAGCAGCCCCCTTCCTCTTCAAGAGAGAGAGAGAAACAAAGAGAGAGAGAGAGAGAGAGAGAGAGAGAGAGAGAGAGAGAGAGAGAGAGAGAGAGAGAGAGAGAAACAAAGAGAGAGAGAGAGAGAAACAAAGAGAGAGAGAGAGAGAAACAGAGAGAGAGAGAGAGAGAGAAACAAGAGAGAGAGAGAGAGAGAGAAACAAAGAGAGAGAGAGAGAGAGAGAAACAAAGAGAGAGAGAGAGAGAGAGAAACAAAGAGAGAGAGAGAGAGAGAGAAACAAAGAGAGAGAGAGAGAGAGAAACAAAGAGAGAGAGAGAGAGAGAGAAACAAAGAGAGAGAGAGAGAGAGAAACAAAGAGAGAGAGAGAG